ATGCCAGATTTGATGTTTATGTACTCCCAAATGAAAAAGAGGGTTGCATCAAGGGGTGTTTGCATGAGCTTTTAGACTGACACGAGTGTTGATGTATGACGATGGCAGACATTCAGCTTTTGAAAATGAAACCAAAATGCCAAAAAAAATCTGCATGTGAAGGGTTTGCTCGACGCTTCTTTCCAAGCACAACAAGTTTAGGCTGCAGAGAAATCAGTCACAGCACAGAGTCTCTCTTCACAGGAACTTAACCGTGTCTCCTCAAATGTTGACTGAGTATTTGAAAGTCTTTAGGGCAGAGATTACTGTAGGATACATCTCTGGGACAAAGGATAAGCATCGAATCGCCGGTCAGAATTAAAAGGGCTCCACCAGATGTGCCTTGTGCCTTTTCTTTTCAACCCATAATAAAGTTTGTTTATTCTTTTGGGGTAAAGTTGGTTTTGACCTTTGGCCTTTGGTTTGCTTTGTGGCTCATCAACACAACTATCTTAAGAGCTAGGTGGGCTAAGATTGCCTCAAAAGCTCTGTGTCAAATGTCTTAAAATATCAAGAAAAAAACTGATAATTATGTGGCAATTATGTCCATTCTTTTTCTCCATATGTTTTTAAACTTTGTCCGGATTTTGAAGAAGTCAAATTATTAGTTTCTACTATATTCATAAATCATAAATGGAAGTGAAGTCATATTGGGGAATATTGATTGTGATAAACTGAGACATACTTTTAAACCATGAATACTGGTCAAAATATTGGTAAAACGATGTAACAGTTCATCTGTGAACACTCAGATATAGTGGTTTTAGTATTTGTTTGCCGACTTTTTTTTCACAGTGTTGAAAATATCACTTAGAGTATTTTAGCTGTGGTGTCATTACACTGTTGTGCAGCTGTGCAGCCCCGCTGTTTACAATCCTCTCCCATTGGCTCTGTCTGCAGCACACTTAGCTCCTCTCAGTCTTGTCCTCTCTGAACATCCTTCAGACGGCGGTGTAGAAAGATGTTTCCCCTTTAAAAATAGTTTTGGCACAGGTTTGAAACAACCCTGCTGTGACTACACCTGCGATATGGCCGTACTTATAAAGACAAAACTGTGCTTTGATTTCAGCTTTATCACAACAAACGCTGTTAATGTTCCTGTCAAAGTTTCATAAAAACACGGTAATCATCAAATTTCCCCTTGTTACTTTAGCTAGATCACATACCAGAGTAACATTAGGTCTAGACAACAAAATAATGCAGGAAGGTTATCCAGGTTTTTTTCTTTCTTTTCATGAGTTTGACTCCATATCTTCAACATGGTCAAAATAAATCCTCAGTCTCTCAGTGGTTTATTACTTAACCTTTGACTTCTTTCACATCCAGCCCTTGTGGACATGCAAATTAGTGGAAAAAACAATACCAGGTATCTCAGGAAGATGCTGGCCTCTCTTAACCAGCACCTAAACTTTCCGTTTGCATTTGTTGTTATATTTTGGATCATCTTTGGAGGGATTGAACCGTACCCCTGAGAAATATTTTGTAATTTAGTGTTTTGTTCCTTCATAATGTGCATGAACGCATCAGCCATCCACTTTTGCCCAAAAGACTGCTTTGGATGAAGAGTCTACTGGCAGCAGCATAGAAATACTTTATCATTGATGCTCAGTCAGACACTCATGAGACAGCCCTGAACAAAGCCAACAAAGTATTCACCACTACAAAATAGAGGATCCCTTTTTAAGGGTTGGCAAGATTACACTTGTCTAACTGGTTCAGCTCTGTGGCCTCTTCTTTTTACTTGCTATGACTCAGAAGATAACTTATAAGTAGTGGGGCATTATAGCGTTAAGTACTCTTCCTCTGACTGACTTCCTCTCCTGGAATTTGGGCTCTCTGTGGTTTCTGGCTCACCTTCTGAATCAAACCACATGACTTTGATATACCATTCTCATTCTCATCCACAGAGATATTGTTTTTCAGGTTGCCTTGGGCAGGTGGCTTATCCTGTACTTGTTGCTGTCTGTATGGTGTTGTGCAGACCACCTGAGTGCTATTACAGGAATCCCATCTTTCAGCTTAATAACATATTCTCGTGCCTACAACTCAGTTTTTGTTAATACTTTGCAAGCACCCAAAGGGGCTGAGTTTTTAAAGCATTCATCCTTAAATCTGCAATGCCGTCTCAGCCGGAGCCAACACAAGCTCGCCAAGGCAAGGAAAACCTATTTTACCCCTAAAATAGAATTTAAAAACATCATCGGACACACTGTGTATTAACTTCAACAAGTTTGCAAAATTAGCCCAAAATGTAGTTTCAGTTGTAGGAGCTGAAGTCATTCTGCTAATTATAAGTGTCTGCTGGTAAAACTAAAGTCACCAGATGCTTTGGTTTGTGGAGATCCCCCTTCATCAGCAACAGGAACCTTATTGTTTATGGAGGGTGTTTGTGGCCAATCTTCCTGGTGAGCGCCCATCAAGAGGAATTTTCTTTCCCTCTATTAACAAGGCAGCTCTCTTGTTGTGGAGAATTTGCTGCTGCTGGAGCGATGGACTGAGGCCAACACCCAGATCTGTCAACTGCAGGGATAGAGAGCCGAAAAGAAAACACCTGTTACAGTGGAAAGTCAGCCAAGTGTGTCTGGATGACCGTGGAGAGGTTGTAGAAGCATAAAAAGACTAAACAGACATTTACGACTGGTGAAAATGCTGAAGACTGTGCTGGTTGAGTAGGTTAGAAGTCTCTTGTTTTTAACAAAGCAAATCATGGTGAAAGCCGACGTGGAGGAAATCATTCAATGCCAGAGCTGGTCTCATTTTAGTTTTGGAACCAAATGGTTCTGGGAGCTTACGTTTCATTTACTCTGGCTCGGGGACTGGCCTCCCTCCTGTTCAAACACACTTCCAGTCAGCAGTCCTTTATCAAATTTGAGGGAAGTTTGATGTGATGACAGAAGAGTCCCACTGAGGCACTCTCCACGCTCACATTGTTTGTGAATCTATCGAAACATATACTTTGATTTGCAGCCTTTAATAACGACTCTTGCTAATTAACTAATGCGTTTTAAACTGAACTAAGTTGAGCCGTTGTTGGATAATGCCAGGTGAGTGCCTACTCTCTGCTTCAATGTAAATAATTATAGGCAAATTTTACTCAAGATCAAAGTTTATAACCATAACTGGTTGTAATGGTGCTGCAGGTCCTCTCAACTCATTACAGCCCATTTTAAACTGTTGTAGCTGTAAATGGTGAAGACTTAGAAAGTAAAAAACTAGAAACTTAAGCAACTTAAGCGGCGAGCATGAATATTACGTATAATTCAGTAGAGGAAGTAGTTATACCAGAGGAAAAAACTAGACCACAACACTTCACAAAGAAACAAAAGCATTAATTTTTAAGCTCAGGAAATAGGAAATAAGTCTGAAGCACCTCAGTCTGTGGACACGTTCGTGGGAGTCTGATGGACCTCTACAGAATCGGAACAACAAATTGGGTCATGTGGCACTGAGCAGTACGTTCCAGTTGGGCTCTTCAGCCTCTTCTATATTAGATCCACCCACAAAAACAAATAAACTGTTGTGACTAGCTGGACGTATGTTTCATTGGGATCAAATGTATTCTGCCAGAGCAAATAAAGCATGTGCTGGTTCCCAGACAATTAATATGTAGTAATCTTTAATAAATTACTACATTTCAGTAAAACATCTCAGATGAAAAACTGACGCCTTTAACCACACATTGTCATACATCAGAATGGGGTTAGCGGACGTGCTCTAACACTGTTGCTCTCCTTGAGCGAACGCGGCTTTCTGCTCGGCATTGTGGGACATTACGGTTGTGTCTTTTGAACCGCTGCCAGCGGCAGCAGAAAGTAACGGCATAGCTGTGACGTGAGCAGCGCTTTCAGGAATGCAGCAGAAGGACAAGCAGGACGTTTGTGGCTTAAGTGTACCGCTACAGTTAAAAGGGTGTGTCGTATATGTCTTACAGTGAACGGAGCGCAGCAGCTGTCATATCAGTATACATACAATCCAATATCTGCTGTAAAGGATTTCGGTTTCTTTTGGTATGTTTTTTTTTTTCCGATCTGAAACTGGAGCTAGATATAACCCACATTGCTCCTTGTTGACATCATGACGTAGAAAGGGAAATGTGAATGGGAATATCTGATTTTCTTTATACTTTTAAAGAAACAGATGTGACCTGTCATGCTATTTATACAATCTATATGATGAAATATAAGATGAAATATTGCCTAAAAAGACTATAAGAAAAACATGTTTGAATAATCAAAAGCCTTAAGACCAACCCAAACTGTAAGAAAGTACGAGTATACTGTACAAAAGACACATACGTGTGTTTAGACATGTATTCACACCTGACAACGGAGAGAGTAAAAAGAGAGCTGTGGCAGGATGTTGAAATCTATACTTACCTGCTTCCTGTGGATGTAAACATACAGCGCATGTGTCCCTTTGATTCTCAAACTTCAAGAAATCCCAGGTTGTTGATGTGAACATTTGATGTATGTCACCACACACTCAGAACATTTTGTTAACGGACAACATGCAAGCCCTGATGCAAATCGTTCATTCCAACCCAGGTCTTTTCAGTCCGGTCCGTGTTCCCTGAGCTGATACGATCAGTCCAGTGTTACTGTTAGGAAAACAAACAATACGCAGTGAAATCTGCTGTTGTCATATAACTGGCCAATAAGGTTTTTCCCGAACCAGCCTGTTAGCATGTGGGTTTAGGTGTCTGGCAAAAAGAGTGAAGACTGATCTGATTACTTAAAAGTCTTCTGTACAACACACTTGCCTTTTTCTTCCTCTCTCTGAAAGGTTCTCCAAATGAAGTTAAGTCCAATTTGAAAGCTTTACACAGGCTGTGCAGTGACCTGGCTCAGTCAAAGAACCTTGGGAGAAGTATTTGGTCCAAGCACATTTTTGATGCAATGCAATGTCAGAGCTGGTCCTGAATAATGTAACATCCTCTCTTTTCTGTGCGCTTTATCTTTCAGAGGGCAGTCAGACAAAGGCAAGACGGGCTCCCTTTCAACCTCCTGCACCACATCCGCCCGGGGCCCATCGCCATTTTGTGTGTGGGCCTGCTAGTCATCGTGATGGGACGCATCATGTACTCACAGGGCAGTACCAACAGCCTGGACCACTCTCACGTTTAGCCTTTGGGAAACCCAGCAGACGTAGCATTTTCCTCGAATATGTTTGTCTTGAGTCTTTTTTTTTTTTGTTTTTTTGTGTGTTTTTTTTAAGGTGGAGGGGGTGTGTGTGTGTGTGTGTGTGTATATGTGTGTGTGAGTGTATGGGGGGACCACATCTTTAGCTTGTTTCCTCCAAGTTTTGGACTCTTTGTTTTAGGAAGGAACTCTAAAATGCTTGGATGTTTTTTTTTTCCACCACTGTATTTCCGTCGTGCTACCAAAGAGGCAAGATTTTGCACTCCTTTCCAATGCATTTGTCTAGTTTAGCTTCTTAGCTTCCCTCAAGGCTTTTTGTGCCATATTTTGCGAGTTTGAGCATTCCGTCTAATCAACTCCTCGGACCCCGGGTTGTTAAAGCACATGGGTCCAGTCTTTAACTTTTATTTTGTGCCTCTGATGCTTTCAGAACGCATCCATTGTTTTCCTTCCAACTCGGGAACTTTGTGGGAACCCACTGGAGCAATGTATCCATTACTATTCAATATTATGTCACACTGTGCTTCCAAATTTTTGCAACATGTCTCATTTTGCCACTATGAATTGCATGTAAGCCTTCGTTGTAGGTTGATGCACATCGACTGCAGACCAGCATTTTTAGCCATATTAGCTGCATGATGTTCATTTTACTGATGGTTGAAAAACTTGTTGACTTGAGAAATCGTTAAAGGGGATCACTTTGTCCAATGAAAAAAATGGTGGTTAACCAGTGGCAATACCTTTCCCCCCCATGGCATTCCTGCCATTTAAATAACTCTCATTACTTGACATATATTTTAAATAGATCCAAGAAACATTTTTTCCCTAGTTTTCTTTTTTATTGTGCTGAAAAGTAGAAGTTCCCAAAATCTGTAGCTACATGGTGTTAAAAATATTATTTTTTTTAACAAAGTGGTTATGATCTTCACTTTGCACCCTTTAAAATAGCAGTATTTGGCATTACCAGCAAATTAATTGCTCATATAGTTACATGGTAAAAAAAAATCAATATCCAGCCTTAAAGGAAAGATTTTGCACATTCATAACCAAAAGCTGGATCTCATTACTCCACTTGTTCACGCAATAATACATTCTGAGAAAACTGTTACTGAGTTGCCCAATTAACAAAGAGACTTTGATGAACAATAAAATCACGATAGCTGCTGGTTTTAACCAGAAAATAGTGTCATTAATATGTATCTTTAAATAGTTCCATTGTTATACTGTGACTGATCAAATAATAGTGTCTTCCAGCTTCTAGTTTTACTATTAGAAGCCTGAATGAAAGTAGGAGGCAAGTTTTGGTTTGTTGACAAGGTCATGTTCTCAGTTTATTAGCACAGTGATTCAGACCTGGCCAAGTTTTCCTCACTGCCAGGTCATTAAACACTCCGAGAGCTCTCTGGAAAGCAACCAAACATGACTCAAAGAGGATTTGTTCACTCACTGGTTTGTAACTATCTCACCAGAAACGTGCAGTCGTCAGATAAAAAAATATATATTTCCCCCAAACATTTAAACTTTCTGTTCTTATGAAAGTTGTGATTATTCAGATAACACAAAAAGAATGGAATGCCTGTTATTTTTACTTCTTTTCTTTACATGGATGGATTGAGTTTCCTTTATTTAATTATGTTAATTTAAAGTTTTTTAACACAACAATGCTAGTGGTCAATAATTATGCAGGATTATGAAGCTGATGCTTCCAGTTATGAAATCAGCTGTGTGCTTTAATTATTTGGAGGTTGTGGTCTTTATCAGGATGACATCATTAGCCAAATGAGCTTCTTATTTGAGTATCATTCATCTGAAACGTGTCGGGCAAAGCATGAAGTCACATATATGTGATATTCTCCATCTTCCTATATTTTCATGTGGAAGATATTGTTGCCTTAAAGTGGGGAAATTGCCACTCTAACTCAGGTCCACAGTGTTCACTCTGCAGCCACCGGGAACAGCTGTGTACTTTTTTATTGCATAATCATTCATACCTTATCAGGAGTGTTTTCAATTTTTCAATTCACTGTTCAGTTTTATGGGAGAGAAAATGTGTGGGAGATGATTAATCCTCTGATTACTGCGTTTGGATGTGTTCTGCTTTGCTAAATGTGCTTCTGTCCATTCTTGCAGTGTGGACACTGACCAAAGAGTTTTGTGCACAACTTTTGTTTTCACTGTTAGTTGGGATGGTACAAGAGAGGCGTTTACAGACATTGTGTTCAGTTTTCACTTTATGATTTGGATTAATTGGAAAAATCAGATCACCTGATTAGCATAAAACGTTGTTTCTTTGGTGTTAGGGAAACACCAGAAAGCAGATTGAGATCTAAATGTTAAATGTCTTAAATGAAGCTTTGCTGCTCTACTTCAAAGCTTCATTTTCAATATTTCTCCTGCAGTGATCCAGTCTCACAACTGAATCTGTAATAGTTGCATCGGTCCACAATGCAAAAATGTTTAGGTCTCTCAAAAAAAGGCTAAATTTGTTCCACTTTGTTGACGGGGAGACGTGTCACTGCTTGATGCTACTGTTACACCTTTCTTCTTCTTGTTGACTTAAGTTCGGCGTCTCCTGACGTTCTTGCTTTGCGATGACGTTCACTTCGGACTTGTCGCCACTTGCCGTTATGTTGGGGCAGGAATGGAACTTTTTCTAGAGTTGTGAGATCACAGAATCCAGACCCATCCAATTCGCTCTGATGGTTTTTAAATTGTATTTACTTTGATGCTGCTTGCGGTTGGGGTTACTGTTAGAATACTTAGAATAAACACATGAAGTTGATTTGTTTAAAAAAACAAACTGAAAAACATTGTTTGGCTCACATCTTTTAATATTCATGGTTAAGAGGAGGGAGAAAACTCTCCCACAGAAAACAACAGCCAACAGAAAGTGTTGTCGTCTCATGATATTTATCTATGAATTGTGACACTAGCACACTGGGGAGATGTGGGCAAACATACTTATTACTCATTTCCTTTTGGGACTGCAGACATAATATAAAAATCAACACATCTATCATTGTGGGGGCCTCCTTGATAGTCATCCATTTTTTGCATAAAAGTTCAACAGAAATCAGGATTTAACCAAATTGGCATAAAAGAACTAAATTAATTAATCTTGCCAGAATACACAGATCTCGCAGCATGTGACACAATTCGAAGATGAAATGCAAGGCTGTTAAACGGGCTACTGGATACCATACCATGAAGAAACAGACATTTTGCATTCGTTTTCCTTACTTTTGACCTCTCTGCATCACACTACTGTCTGTTTCTAATGTCTGCTCACCGTCGTGTCTCCTGCTGGAGAAATGTGTCAGAACATTTAACAGCTCAAACTGTCACAGGATTTAGCCCGCTCTGCTCTCCCTCCGCCCGTGACACGGAGAGCATATGACTGCTTGTTGACTTCTGATATTGTGCCATGTGAAACCTACAACCTCATTTTGAAGTACTGTATTACAGCCAGAGTGTCAGTGAGGAGCATGGCAGGGAGGAAACCGAAAGATGATTTGACGCCTTCTGAAACTGATATGGAAACCTAGTAATGTGCAGACTCCCCGCCTGTCATCTGAGAGGCGTTAGAGCACAGAGTTTTTCTTGACTCGCATCAGGACTGCTGGAGCTGCTTTGCGTTGCCGATTTCTGTTTGTTTTTCTTCTCCGTATGAATAACTCGAAAGCCATCAAAAGCCTTTGACCTACACTCATGTGAAAAAGTCAATTGGATTTGTGAAGCACGTTTTGGATCGTTTTCAGCTGCCAGCAGATGAAGTATACAATACTGTGCAAAGGCTGAAGCCACCACTCATGTCTCTGTCTTACTAGGAAAGAGGGAAATGTAAGCATTTATTAATTGGATGTAAACATGAAAGAAAATAGATTATATGATGAAAATAAAAGTTTGTTCCTTTGTAATGAGATTGAAAGTCAGTATTTGGTATGAACAACTTTATTCCTGGACCCTCACAGACAGGCTGCCTTATCAGTAGTCTTTAGGAATGGTTCTCCAGGCTTCTTGAAGGACACCTCAAAGCTCTTCTTTGGATGTTGGCTGCCTTTCGTTCTCTGACAAGTTAATACGGCACAGCTTCAATAGTGCTGAGGCCAGGGCTCTGGGGAGGATTCAGCCCTCCAGCAGACCTGTTACCACTGATTTTCAGTCCACTTCTTGAGCCATTTGGCATAGCTCAGCCTTTTCGCTCTGTTTCACATCTTTAACAATGTCCTCTTGAATACTCATCAGGAGTAGTCTCCACCTCCTCAGTCTTTCATCCCTTTCAGATACTTTTAATCTGCTATATATATTTTTACATATATATTTCCCATGTGTACTGTTTTTTCTTCTTCCACATTTCATATACTTTAAAGACACAATGCACACCATGTTGTTATTGACCTAGATAAAAGGCAAAAGTTAGATTTTCTGTCTGAAAAACTATATTGCCTTTGTTTTATGCTAATCCAACCAAAGAAATGGGTACGAATTAACAGTTTACTTGGTAAAATTGGTTAAAAAAAACTGCCTGGGATTACATTTTAAAATTGGTTATCTGTTATGTGTAGATGAAAGATGGGTACAGCTTTTTAAGTTAGGGGCCTTTTCTTACAGTTGATAAATGTGTAGGTCATGGTCAAGAAGAACAACTAGCCAACCAAAACAAAATCAGTACACCCAACATACAACAGAGAATGGTCAGGTTGTGGACTGAAACTCAGTGAAAAAGAAAAACGTCGAAGGACCATCGGAAAGCCTGGAAAACTTCTGCTGTAGACCAGTTGATAGGAGACACACAAAGTCTAGTTGGAAGCAGATTATAAAGCAATAAGTTCTGACACAGCCCTGTGTCTTTTAATACCATATGATGGGAAAATAGGTTTTCCAATTATGCATTTAACAGTTATGACAGACATTCAGCTGCAAAATAAAGCACATCTTGAGCGTCAGATGTTGAAATTTCCCTTCAGCAAATTATTACTTTTTCA